CCAATTACCTGTTCTTTCCCCTAACATCTTACCAATAGCTGTTTCTCTGTTAACTCTTTCAGCCATCACCTCCAAACTTCCCCTGCTACCTTTTGTCTCAAATCCCCCTGGTATCCTTTAGATTGTAAACTCACGGGCCATCTAGCTAAGCACTTTGTATAAAAGAGCTCCAATGGCTAGAAATCAGCTTACGGGCAGGGCTCTCTTACCTCTTGTATGTGTTTGTGTATATTGTACGTTTCTCAACTAATTGTACAGCGCTGCGGAATCTGTGTGCGCTTTATAAATTGCAATAATAATAATAATAATAATAATTATACGCACACAGTGTGATTAGATCGAGATTATACACACACTGTGAGATTAGACCGAGATTATACGCACCTAGTGAGATTAGACCGAGATTATACGCACGCAGTGCGATTAGACCGAGATTATACGCACAGAGTGAGATTAGACCGAGATTATACGCACACAGTGTGATTAGATCGAGATTATACACACACTGTGAGATTAGACCGAGATTATACGCACCTAGTGAGATTAGACCGAGATTATACACACGCAGTGCGATTAGACCGAGATTATACGCACAGAGTGAGATTAGACCGAGATTATACGCACACAGTGTGATTAGATCAAGATTATACACACACTGTGAGATTAGACCGAGATTATACGCACGCAGTGTGATTAGACCGAGATTATACGCACAGAGTGAGATTAATCCAAGATTATACGCACAGAGTGAGATTAATCCAAGATTATACGCACAGAGTGAGATTAGACCGAGATTATACGCACGCAGTGAGATTAGACCGAGATTATACGCACGCAGTGTGATTAGATCGAGATTATACGCACAGAGTGAGATTAGACCAAGATTATACACACCTAGTGAGATTAGACCGAGATTATATGCACAGAGTGAGATAAAACCGAGATTATATGCACAGAGTGAGATAAAACCGAGATTATACGCACCTAGTGATATTAGACCGAGATTATACACACGCAGTGTGATTAGACCGAGATTATACGCACAGAGTGAGATTAGACCCAGATTATACGCACGCAGTGTGATTAGACCGAGATTATACGCACAGAGTGAGATTAGACAGAGATTATACACACCTAGTGAGATTAGACCGAGATTATACGCACGCAGTGTGATTAGACCGAGATTATACGCACAGAGTGAGATTAGACCGAGATTACACGCACAGAGTGAGATTAGACCGAGATTATAAGAACGCAGGGTGATTAGACCGAGATTATACGCACACAGTGTGATTAGATCGAGATTATACACACACAGTGAGATTAATACAAGATTATACGCACAGAGTGAGATTAGACCGAGATTATACGCAGAGTGAGATTAGACCGAGATTACACGCACACAGTGTGATTAGACTGAAAACTATTTAATTTTCCACCTATTTATTGTTTATCTCTCTCCAATATATGATGTGACCAGAATCTATGGGTACAGCACCCTGCTTAAACCAACGTCCAGTCTAGCCATGTAGTGTTTTCATGTAAAGTGGTTCGGTTCTGATTTAAACGGGTTCTGTTCTGATGTAACCTGTCCAGTTTGTGAAACCCAATTTTTAAGCTTGGAAACTGATATTGTGTCTTGACTGCAGGCATTGAAGAGCAGGGTCCAGATCGCCCAGATCGTCACTCGTATTGTCCTAAAATGCTTTTAGCCTTTAAAACAGTGAGTTGTAGGAAGGACATGTGGCTGGTGTCTAGACTGTCCTTTAACTATCAGAGAAGCAGGGGTAATGCTGAGATTACCCCTGCTACTCAGACTTAACCATCGCGCAGCCCTCCACCATGACACGGTTTCCACGTGCAGCCCCCCCATGACACGGTTTCCACGTGCATCCCCCCCATTACCCGGTTTCTACATGCAGCCCCCCATTACCCAGTTTCTAGGAGTTTAAAGCTGGGTGGTCTTCTCTCAAATTTGGTGTGGGTGAAATAACAGAAGAAACAGTGGATGGGATTGATCTATCTAAAGAAAAAACATCCATGTATCTATCATTTTATAGGAATTAGGATTTCGAGTGTAGAGAAGGAGGGGAAAAAGAAGTGGAGGAGAGGAGGGCTAAAGAGAGCACAGGAGAGGGACTAAAGAGGCCAGAAGACTAAAGAAGGGCAGAGGAGGGGAGGGTGGCTAAAGAAGGGCAATGGAGTGGAGGGTGGCTAAAGAAGGGCACAGGAGAGGAAAGGAGTCAAATAGGCAAAGAGAGGCTTGGGGGACAAAGAGACACAAAGAGGGGCTGGGGAAGGGAAACAAAAGACACATACAGAGGGGTTGGGGGAGAAACAGACCTTGGGGGTAGAAAGAGGCATACTAGCCAGCCACAGCAGCCTGGTAGCCGGCCACAGCAGCCTGGTAGCCGGCCACAGCAACCTGCTAGGTGGCCATAGCAACCAGTCTGAGAGCCAGCCACAGTAGCCAGTCAACCTACCAGCAGTAGCAGTAATTAAGGTGAGAAGAGCCAACTTGAGCTTGGTATCACAGAGCTATGTTATATTACTATATTGTGAATGGGGTCAGAGTGTTAGAGAGACCCCTCCCCAGGGACCATTAAACTCCCTCTCATGGGGCCTTGAGGGGTCTCTTTCTAACCAACAGTTTACAAACTTGCGCCAAAATATTCTTGAAAACATTTAAAACAAAAAACTGTGTTTTTTTTTTAAGTTTTAAAGTTGGGGAACGGGGATCCACCCCGGGTGCCAAATGCTCTAGGTAAGCCCCTGCTTCTTGGGACCCTGCGCCTTAGAGGCTGCTTTTTGTGCCCGCTTGCTGGCCGCGCACACAGTCACATAGACGGACTGTGAAGAGGAGGTCATTGGTGGGGATGGTGGAGGAGTTTTGGGGGACTGTGCTGGGGTAGAGACAGGAGACACCATAGGGCTAATGGTAGGAGCTTGGTGTAAGTTTTGCAAAGCTTGTATTACAGCTCCATAAAACTGTTTGGTGTCACTGAGATAATTCTGAAACAACAAGTTAAAATGCGTCTGGTTCATGTGCATGTGACGCACGTGAGCATATAATTCCCACACCTCGTGTGTGAGGCTCTCCAAATGTTTTGCAATAGAAGAATTTCCTTGGACCATGTTGCAGCGTAATTTGTGCAGTTCAATATTGCGAGCCCGGTTTAGCTGCCGCAGCCGCTTGTTGCAATCTGCCTGAATACGCAGGAACTCCTGATCGTCATTCATTTTGTGTGAATTTTTTAACAACCAGGAGGGCGGCTGAGGTGGCAAAGCAGAGGCTGGAGGCAGGTCAAACACAGTCTCTGCTACCTCCGTCTTGATACACCGTGAAGGCGAGACAGTGCCATCTTATGACCACTGGTGGTTGAGCGGAGATGCTGCCTCTTCTGAATCTGATAAGAGTGCACGTTGAAACTCAGATACTGAAAATCAAAAAACATAAGAAAATTACCTATAATTTACCAAAAAACATAAAACTTTTTACATTCTAAATTTTTATTTTACAAACGGCTGAACTATTCTGCATATGTCAACATTGTCAAAGGACACTCTGGCAGTTCTCAAATCCTATTTTATTTAACACTAGCAGGTGTACTCAGCACTTTACACATTACATTACAGCAGGGCTCAACAAATCCCGGGTGCCAGGTCCCCAATGGCGACTAGGCATTTTCTCCTGGCGTCTGGGATTTGTAAGCCGCTCACGTGAGGCAGCGAGGGAGCATGCAGGCGTCAGCAGATGGTGAGCAAAGGGGGGAGGTTGTCTGTGGGAGAGTGGGGAAGGTGGACGGCTGTGTGTTATTGAGGAGGTGAGGGGTTAAGCTGTAATCTCCCTGCTCTGCTCCCTTGCCCGCCCCGCAGTGATGCCAGGAGCCGGAATATGACATCACTCCGGCATCACTAAGCTGCACAGGAAAGAGAGCAGAGCAGAGACATTACAGCAGCCCCACTGGACCCCACGTAAAGTCTATCCACTCCAGCTCTCCCAAAGGTAGGGTAGCTTGGTGGATTTAAATTAAAATAATTTAAAAAATAAATATATATTTCTGAGTTGGTGTATGTCTGTGTTTGAGAGTGAGTGTGGCTGTCTGAGAGTGTGTGTCTGTCTGAGAATCTGTCTGTCTTAGAGTGTGTGTCTGTCAGTCAATATATATATGTGTCTCTGTCTGACAGTGTGTGTGTG